TCCTTTAAACACAATAATATTTAGATATAAAACATATAACAAAGTTATAGGGAAGTCTGGGTGTCCCTGCTCAGACTGTTGCCCCCGCGACCCGGCCCCGGATAAGCAGACGATGATTGATGGACATATAACAAAAGAAAATTTAGAATATTAAATTAGATTAGTTTAGATTAGATTTAAATGTATAGTCATGTAAAGTGTGTGCCCACCCACAGCTTTGTTTATAGAAGGGTCATCTGTGAAACGATAAGGGATAAAGCTGCCCTGAAAGTAGTTCAGAGGAAATGTTTGTACTTTTCTGTTCATTACTTTATTAATATAAACTGATCTATCAACATCTTTTACTCCAGTAGGAGACCTGCTTTAGTTTTGTGTTGCTAGAAGCAGCGTGCAACCACACAAACCTCAGGACGTCTACAGAAGTCACGTACACCCCTGAGTGGACTCTGAGGTGGGCAAAGAACCTGTGACGCTGCCTGATTTAGAACACTTGCTTTAAATTAAAATTAATCTGCAGGGCAGAACACCATGTTTAATCTGAGTCCTGACATTTCAATCTTTATCTAGAACATCTCACAGACGTACATCAGGCTCTTCTTGTCAAAGAGTACCTTATCTGGAGTTTGGATCTTCATTCGTGAATCACAGTAAATGTTCTCCATCCAAAATGTTCACTTGATGCTCTAGTTTGTACCTCAGTGCAGGCAGGCGGACAAAGAGAGAAACGGACATCCTCCCGCTGCAACTGATGGAAAGTGAAACGTGAGAAATGAGAACCAGGTGTGTGAAGGATTGAGGTAAGATTGAGCAGACAGATGTGGGAGAGCTAGAGGGGGGAAATGGTGGGAGGTGGCCTTTTTATGTTGAAAGCTGACCTTAGCAAAGGGCCAGCAGGTCAGTCACGGGTCAGGGTGTACATGGGAGGGGAGAGTAGAGGTGAGAAGGTTAGGGAGGTGACTCCAGTGGAAGGAGGGAGGGTTGTTAGTTTAAACAGGTCATATCTCAGCCAGTCACCAGGGGAAGTGACCTCTGGCTGGCCTTCTGATTGGTTCCCACTTAGGCCAGACAAGGACACTTTCCCCTTTGGTTAACTGGTGTGGCTTGTCTCACGTTGATTCGTGGCTCTGGATTCAAAACATGCTGTCAGTCAGAGGCAGTGTCCCACTGAGAACCAATGTGATTGACAAGCACTGGGACTGACAGACTGCTGCACTGACTGTGTGTAATGTAAATGACTGCTGCTGTTTCAGCATGGGGCCAATGAACAAAGATATTTCTATTGTCGCCCTTTCATGTGATATGATAGATGGAGAAAAAAAAGCCCAGGTGATCAAAGAAGAGCAAAGTCATCAAATGTGATGTGATTTACAAGTCGGCTGTTTGAAATGATGCGGAACAGAATGATTCATGCATGACGGGCGGAATATGACTTGCACTGATGAGTAGATCTGTGAACTTTGGAGTTCGATTTTTATCCTGTCCTCAAGCCTGATTATATTTCAGCTCCACCATATCTGCTCCATTGGTGCCAAATATGATCCACCCTTCTCAAAACATTTACAGGAAAAATCAGCAGTGACTGCAGGAGTATCTAAACACTCGCAGATGATTTATCATCCACAGGATACATCAGCTGGGGTTGAAAAGACACAGGAAGCAAATTGCTGTGGGATCAAAAGATAAACAGGAATAAATCTAGTGAAGGGGACGGAGAGGAGAGAAGTGGGCAGAGGGACAGCCTGGAAGAATGTGGTAGTGGGAGGAGGTGGCAAAACAAGGAAGTGGAGGCTTAGTTGATTCATTGGCCTTTTGGCATTAATTTCAGATAAAATTAAAATATTAAATTAAAATTAATTTAATTTAATTTAATTAATAACAAGACATGTCTCTCAGTGAAATCACGTCAGATTTCCATCTCTAAACCCTTTTATCCCCCGGCTGGTGACGCCGATACCTGGTGTAAAAGCCACATGTAATATTTAGCTGCATCCACGCTCCATCACGTGGTCAAATGCCAGATGAAAGGTATAGAGAAAGAGAGAGAGACAGAGAGAGAGAAAGAGAGAGAATAGTGAACGAGTCATAGCCATCACCCCTGACAACTTATTGTCTGTGAACAAACTTTTAGTATTTGTTGAGCAACCGAATAAATAAACCAGGATGGAGCTTGTCTGTGTGTGAGTGTACACAGAGTGGGGAAGGGGGTGAGGGTGGGGTACTTGGGGTCGTGGAAGTGTCAGAATGATGTAGTGATGGTCACAAGCCATTAAAAAAAGGAGGCACAGTACCTTTTCAACATGGGTGTTTAAGTCTGTGCAGTGACAGGAGTATAACAACACACTGTCACTTCTAATCTGTGCCACAAGAATTTTCAGTAGTGCTTGAACCAAGATGGTTAAAGTTTATGAAAAGACGATTCTTTGCAGTGGAAAAACAGCTTTTGTGTGTGTCTGTGTGTGTGTGTAAGAGGGGGTGACTTGTGGTCCTCAAGGTGTCAAAATGATGCAATGACGGTCATCAAGTCATAAAAGGCCGCCCATGTTTCAGAGCAGTTGGAAAGAACAGAAGGAAGGAAAAGAGAGATGTCTGGGAGGGAGAGGCAGCAGGTGGGAAGGAGGGGAGGTGAATGAGCAAAATGTGAATGTTAAGAGCGGAGGGGGAAAAAAAGAAGGAACGCCAAGGCTTCAGGTTAGATGTTTGTGTTTTTTCAGACAGCTATAATTCTCCAGCCTACAGAATTTCATCAACACAAGTTGTGTTAAAGCTGTGCCGCAGGGCCATGGCCCTTTCATGTCCTGAGCTCTGACAGGTAGATTTATTAGTCCTGAAATCTGTACAGATCACACGTCACTCATGGCAAACTGTCAAAGTTATTATTATTATTATTATTATTGGTGTTGTTATAACTTTGTGGATTGACTTTCATCACTTTCTAGATACATTTTCTATGGCACAAAATCAAGTTACAAATATGTTTATCCAAGGCTTTATCCTGTAAAATATGTTGTATGTTTTACCATACATACCAGAATATTTTGGATCATATTATCATAGATACATGATAGGTCATCCATCATCTGAAAGCTTAATTTACAGACACATTTTTTAGTTTTAACCTTTTGATAGCCCTAAATTCCTGGTTCACTGTAATTTAAGTATCTTTAACTTTAACAGCTGATTACAATGTTGCACAGACTAACGCCGGCAACAACTGTGTACAATGACAATACAATGGATTGTGTCTGAAAAAAAGACTGGCAACCAGAATGGTGTCTGTCAAAAAGGAAAAAAGGCAAGATGAAAGAACATAAAGAAAGAGACGATATCTCTTCTGAGCAGATGCACTCACTCATACACACACACACAAAACCTGACAGAGTTTTAATAAAAACCTGTCCAACGCCCTCTCCTATAGGTTAAAGTGTGAGTGATGGCCTAGATAGACTCCAGACTGAGCTCCAAACAGCCAGACTCCATCTAAAACACACACACACAAAAGAAAAGATAATGTGTTATGTGGCCAGATTGACATCTGTTCACACTTCATTCCTGGCCAAGTATTTCAGTTAAATTCAACATTAACACTTGGCGACTTGTGTGTTCATTTGGCACATCTGTAGTGCCTTGTGTTTACACGAGGACGTGTCCTCATACAGGCCTTTAACTACCTGAGAGCACCAACAGCTGATGCTGATTCAAGGCTATCTGTGCGTGTTTGTATGAACTCAGCAGCAAACAGCACCTCGATGGAGGCTTTCTGGTGGCTGCTCTTCAATCTTTGTGGATGGACTCTTTATCAATATTTATGGAGCCAAGAGTGTGAAAATGTGGGTTTGCTGGATGACCTGCAGCATCTAATTACCTGCAGGACAATAAGTGTATGCGTGTGTATTGGTGTGTGTGTGTGTGTGTGTGTGTGTGTGCAGATGGAGACAGAGGCCAGACCATAATAGAACAAGGCTGTCTGTTATGGTATGATCCTGCTCAGCGAGCCAACAAACTGGCCTGCACATCAGACTGACATACCCAAATAGCTTTGCAATTTTTATCCCCTCAGTGAGTGTGTGTGTGCGTGTGTATCAGTGTTAAAAGGCACAACAAGCAAGACGAGCAAAATGAAACAGCAAATGCCATGTGAGCCAGAGGGACGCTGACAGGCCTGTGATTGTGAACTTGTCAAAGGGGCTGCAGTGGGTGAAAGAGAATGATGGGAAAATAAACACACAGCATAGAGAGACACATATCATAGTAGACTCAAAGGTGTTTGCACTTGTCAAGGTTGGTCTGACATAGCATTGCACTGTCCTTGCTTTAAATTGAAATGAAAGGGAAGTGTTCACCCAAGTCCTGTGATCCCACTGACGCATATCACAGTCATAGCTGATAAAAAAATCTCTCCAACAACTCATTGATGCCTGGAGTTAAAACTGTTATTACACTGCTGCAGTGAAGCTTTACACAAAATCCATACAACAGCAACACAGAAATGCAGCCCCATCTCTGACTATGGCAGGCTTTTACCTATTAGTTTTGGCCCACACTCACAGCCCAACTCCTGTGTTTCTGACCATAAATCTCCTACATCCTGACACTTATTATATATGCCATCTATAACACACATCGCAAAGAGGTGATAAAGAATGAATTAATGAGTTTTACTTGTGCTGTGTTGTTGTGTTTGCTCTAGGTTCACCGCCAACTGGCCCATAATGCTTTGCTATCACGGTGCCTACTCAGTCTTCCATAAAGAGGCTCTGCTTCGTCAGCACAGGGCCCACTGTCTCTGGGAGGGTGGATTGTTTTACCGCAGCTTAATAAACCTGCTACTTCATTTAAAGGCCAATGAATGGGCGACGCGACGTTGCACGGATTTGGGTTACACAACCATACTGTAACAATTGTTGTTGAGCATCTTCTAATTGTGAGTTAAACGTCATTGTTGGCTCCCAGTGTGCTCGTCATGTGTGATGCACTGTGTGGTTTGGCTTTATAAAATCGGTTCGAGGTCAGTAAGCACAATCAGAAGTAATACATAAGGTGCACCGGGTTATAGGGTGCACTGTCGATTTTTGAGAAAATTAAAGGATTTTAAGCACGCCTTATAGTCCGAAAGATACGGTATTCACATTACTCCATAAAATCACAGAAACTTAGCATCTTGGTGAAATTTAATTACCTAAAGTATGGTACTTCATACACTGTTTTTATACCTGATTATATAATAGTACTATTATTACATAGTCATATTGCTGATTTGTTAGTAAATGTACGGTGTGTGACTCCAGCCCACTATTCTGCCTGTCACTCAAGAAAAAGGTCCAATGAAAGAAACTCTATTCCTCCTCCCACTCTCGTCACTCTGTCCATCCTCTCTTACCCCCTAACTCCTTTGACCCTTGTCAGCAGCACCCATGTATGAAGTGACCTGTCACCAAAGCCCACTCCACCTGCAGCTGGCCACCCCATGATGGCGATCTGCACAGAGAAAAGGAGTTATTTCAGGCCTTGAGCTGAGGTCAGGCTTGGGTCAAACTTCCCACCATCTGTATCACCACCAAGAGTCGCTACACATTCCTGTATTCTTGAAGTTCCGTTAATGCCTGAATGGATCAGTCCTTATATCAAGCACTGTTTAGAACTGATTTTGTTTTACTTTTGCAGGGATTAGCTTTGCTCAAAACTACATAAAGGCCACTATTCTTTGAAGTACAGTAATTTGAAAATCTGGGTGCAGCTCCACCACTGGCCAGGAGGGCAAAATTCAAAACTCTAGTTTCTTTAGAAATTGCTGCACATTAAAATAAACTATTTTTTTTCTTTTCATGGGTCATTTAGCATCATTTGCTATAATAATCCCTTTAGGAGGGAGCTCCTAAACAACATCCGAAACTAAAAAAAAGATTTGTTCCATGGTGTTTACATAAAACCACCCTCTTTACCCTAATGTTTATATTTTCATTGCAATTAATTGCATCACACAGTTCACATAGCCGCACGTGGGAGTACCTAGTCTCAGCAGCCAATCAGAGGCTAGCGAGGCAAGCCACGCTCAGTCTGTCGTCTTGAAGTGAAGTGAAAAGCGTGCTGTTTTCCCGGTCTTTTACGACTTCAGCCAGAGAAGCGAGGGCAGCTGCATGTTAAGAGAGGAGAGAAAACAGGAGTAAAACCAGGAGTTTACCTGTGAAAAGGAGAAAAAAAAAAGAGTCGGAGCACTTACCCACTGGAGTCCGGAGCTGAGTGATGGAGCAAAGGAGGGAAGTTGCGTCGATAAGACGAGCCAATTATCCGATATTTTAGCGGAGCTGACGCAGGCGATCCGCCGCACACTCCACATGTGCTACCACTCTGAACACACTGAGAAGTACATATTTATAGTGATTTCATGCCTATATTAATTTGCTACCAGTCTGAATACACTGAGAAGTACGTATTTATAGCGATTTCATGCCTATAGGCATGTGCTACCACTCTGAACACACTGAGAAGTACATATTTATAGTGATTTCATGCCTATATTAATTTGCTACCAGTCTGAATACACTGAGAAGTACGTATTTATAGCGATTTCATGCCTATAGGCATGTGCTACCACTCTGAACACACTGAGAAGTACATATTTATAGTGATTTCATGCCTATATTAATTTGCTACCAGTCTGAATACACTGAGAAGTACGTATTTATAGCGATTTCATGCCTATAGGCATGTGCTACCACTCTGAACACACTGAGAAGTACATATTTATAGTGATTTCATGCCTATATTAATTTGCTACCAGTCTGAATACACTGAGAAGTACGTATTTATAGCGATTTCATGCCTATAGGCATGTGCTACCACTCTGAACACACTGAGAAGTACATATTTATAGTGATTTCATGCCTATATTAATTTGCTACCAGTCTGAATACACTGAGAAGTACGTATTTATAGCGATTTCATGCCTATAGGCATGTGCTACCACTCTGAACACACTGAGAAGTACATATTTATAGTGATTTCATGCCTATATTAATTTGCTACCAGTCTGAATACACTGAGAAGTACGTATTTATAGCGATTTCATGCCTATAGGCATGTGCTACCACTCTGAACACACTGAGAAGTACATATTTATAGTGATTTCATGCCTATATTAATTTGCTACCAGTCTGAATACACTGAGAAGTACGTATTTATAGCGATTTCATGCCTATAGGCATGTGCTACCACTCTGAACACACTGAGAAGTACATATTTATAGTGATTTCATGCCTATATTAATTTGCTACCAGTCTGAATACACTGAGAAGTACGTATTTATAGCGATTTCATGCCTATAGGCATGTGCTACCACTCTGAACACACTGAGAAGTACATATTTATAGTGATTTCATGCCTATATTAATTTGCTACCAGTCTGAATACACTGAGAAGTACGTATTTATAGCGATTTCATGCCTATAGGCATGTGCTACCACTCTGAACACACTGAGAAGTACATATTTATAGTGATTTCATGCCTATATTAATTTGCTACCAGTCTGAATACACTGAGAAGTACGTATTTATAGCGATTTCATGCCTATAGGCATGTGCTACCACTCTGAACACACTGAGAAGTACATATTTATAGTGATTTCATGCCTATATTAATTTGCTACCAGTCTGAATACACTGAGAAGTACGTATTTATAGCGATTTCATGCCTATAGGCATGTGCTACCACTCTGAACACACTGAGAAGTACATATTTATAGTGATTTCATGCCTATATTAATTTGCTACCAGTCTGAATACACTGAGAAGTACGTATTTATAGCGATTTCATGCCTATAGGCATGTGCTACCACTCTGAACACACTGAGAAGTACATATTTATAGTGATTTCATGCCTATATTAATTTGCTACCAGTCTGAATACACTGAGAAGTACGTATTTATAGCGATTTCATGCCTATAGGCATGTGCTACCACTCTGAACACACTGAGAAGTACATATTTATAGTGATTTCATGCCTATATTAATTTGCTACCAGTCTGAATACACTGAGAAGTACGTATTTATAGCGATTTCATGCCTATAGGCATGTGCTACCACTCTGAACACACTGAGAAGTACATATTTATAGTGATTTCATGCCTATATTAATTTGCTACCAGTCTGAATACACTGAGAAGTACGTATTTATAGCGATTTCATGCCTATAGGCATGTGCTACCACTCTGAACACACTGAGAAGTACATATTTATAGTGATTTCATGCCTATATTAATTTGCTACCAGTCTGAATACACTGAGAAGTACGTATTTATAGCGATTTCATGCCTATAGGCATGTGCTACCACTCTGAACACACTGAGAAGTACATATTTATAGTGATTTCATGCCTATATTAATTTGCTACCAGTCTGAATACACTGAGAAGTACGTATTTATAGCGATTTCATGCCTATAGGCATGTGCTACCACTCTGAACACACTGAGAAGTACATATTTATAGTGATTTCATGCCTATATTAATTTGCTACCAGTCTGAATACACTGAGAAGTACGTATTTATAGCGATTTCATGCCTATAGGCATGTGCTACCACTCTGAACACACTGAGAAGTACATATTTATAGTGATTTCATGCCTATATTAATTTGCTACCAGTCTGAATACACTGAGAAGTACGTATTTATAGCGATTTCATGCCTATAGGCATGTGCTACCACTCTGAACACACTGAGAAGTACATATTTATAGTGATTTCATGCCTATATTAATTTGCTACCAGTCTGAATACACTGAGAAGTACGTATTTATAGCGATTTCATGCCTATAGGCATGTGCTACCACTCTGAACACACTGAGAAGTACATATTTATAGTGATTTCATGCCTATATTAATTTGCTACCAGTCTGAATACACTGAGAAGTACGTATTTATAGCGATTTCATGCCTATAGGCATGTGCTACCACTCTGAACACACTGAGAAGTACATATTTATAGTGATTTCATGCCTATATTAATTTGCTACCAGTCTGAATACACTGAGAAGTACGTATTTATAGCGATTTCATGCCTATAGGCATGTGCTACCACTCTGAACACACTGAGAAGTACATATTTATAGTGATTTCATGCCTATATTAATTTGCTACCAGTCTGAATACACTGAGAAGTACGTATTTATAGCGATTTCATGCCTATAGTAATGTGCTACCTCTCTGAACATACTGAGAAGCACGTATTTATAGTGATTTCATGTCTATAGTAATGTGCTACCACTCTAAATAGAGTCAGAAGCATGTATTCATAGCGATTTCATGCCTATTGTAATGTGCTACCACTTTGAATAGACTGAGAAGCATGTATTTATAGCGATTTCATGCCTATAGTAATATGCTACCACTCTAAATAGAGTCAGAAGCACTTATTTATTAAGATTTGATGTGTATAATAATGTTGTACCACCCTGAACACAAATGTCAGATATGTCTATAAATTTACGCTATGGGTAGGAAAAAACTTCAGCCATAGCTATAAATTTCTGCTACTGGCCAATGTGCGCATGCGCAGTTAACTCGGGTAGCAAAAAACTATAGGTAGGAGAAAATTTCAGAACACCGGCGTAGCTCCGCCCCGATTGGGTAAGTGTGGTCAAACAGGTTTCAACTTTCTGTATATATTGAGACTTTTTGTATATATATTCAAACTTGCTGTACATGTATTCAGATTTTCTTTATATATATTCAGACTTTCTGTGTATATATTTAAGGATTAATTTCCTGAATGGCATGCCATAATATATATATATATATATATATATATGTATGTATTTATTTATTATTTAATTTCATTTAGAAATGCCCTTCATTCACTTCATGCAATCAGACTATGGAAATTCAAATTTCAAAGTTGGCGCCTATTTCCAGTTTGCTTCGTCCTGCCCATAATGACCAACCACCAAGTTTGAAGAACGACAGATAATTGGGAGTAGTGCTAGTATCCACAGCCACAAAGGACATTGTCAACCACACGCCGTTTGAGGTAAGTGTCCCAGATAATGCATGTGAATGATATTTTAACTCATTTTAAGTAGACAGCCTTAAAGCTAACGTTAGCATTCCTCTGATAAATTATTGCCATCACATAAGCTATTAGTGGTTAGCAGATATGAAAGGAAAGGAAAGGAAAGGAAATGAAAGGAAATTGAACTCCTTGTCATTGTGACACACACCACTGCACACAACGAAATTTGACCTCAGAGCACCTCAGTGGTAACTTGGCAGCTGGTGGACTCGAACCTGATGAAGTGAAGTGAAAAGCGTGCTGTTTTCCCGGTCTTTTACGACTTCAGCCAGAGAAGCGAGGGCAGCTGCATGTTAAGAGAGGAGAGAAAACAGGAGTAAAACCAGGAGTTTACCTGTGAAAAGGAGAAAAAAAAAAGAGTCGGAGCACTTACCCACTGGAGTCCGGAGCTGAGTGATGGAGCAAAGGAGGGAAGTTGCGTCGATAAGACGAGCCAATTATCCGATATTTTAGCGGATCGGACCGATCCGATCCGATCCAACTTGCAAAAAATTCCGATCCACGAACCATGTCTGAGCTCCAGCCTTGTCAGATTCCTGCCGGTGAGTCTAACAGATCCGCCGTGTTCTGAAGTTTTTTCCTACCTATAGTTTTTTCCTACCTGAGTTAACTGCGCATGCGTACATCGGCCATAATTTGCCGCTGCAGTCAAGTCATAGTTTTCTGCTACCCGACCGTTAAACAAGGTTAGTTTCTTGTATATTTAATACTTTATATGACCAGTATGCAATACCGATACGGACAGTGTGGTCAAATATGCTTCTTATTTTTGTATATATATTCAGACTTTCTATATATATATTTAAAGATTGATTTCCTGAATGGCATGCCATAATATATATATATATATATATATATATATGTATGTATTTATTTATTATTTAATTTCATTTAGAAATGCCCTTCATTCACTTCATGCAATCAGACTATGGAAATTCAAATTTCAAAGTTGGCGCCTATTTCCAGTTTGCTTCGTCCTGCCCATAATGACCAACCACCAAGTTTGAAGAACGACAGATAATTGGGAGTAGTGCTAGTATCCACAGCCACAAAGGACATTGTCAACCACACGCCGTTTGAGGTAAGTGTCCCAGATAATGCATGTGAATGATATTTTAACTCATTTTAAGTAGACAGCCTTAAAGCTAACGTTAGCATTCCTCTGATAAATTATTGCCATCACATAAGCTATTAGTGGTTAGCAGATATGAAAGGAAAGGAAAGGAAAGGAAATGA